CTATGTAACTTAATTCATTCCAATTAAAGAGAGCCACGGATTTGCCAATAACAGGCCCTTAATTTTTTTGCTATAGATCGACTACAATGTACATTAATATTTAACACATTTAAATCAAATTTAGATCAATCTTAATATTGTGATTTTAAATAGCGGAGGTCGATTTAAGGGGGAGGGGTGGTAAAAAAAAAAAGAAAGAAAAATTGATCGCCGAAACGCATCAGGTTATTTTCAGGTGTCTAGAAAAGACAAATTTCCTCTAAAGATGGTGTTATCTCGTTCGGACCCACTTTTTTCCCCTCCCCCTTTTTCCGGCCCCGCCTCCTCCCCCTTTCGGACATCTCTGGATTTTCCCCTGAATTACCTTACATGCCAGCAACTAAAGAACATAGGCGATTTATTTTAACATTGTTTTGTGTATATCATTTGAATTTTATCAATTTCAAACGAATGACCGCTGATTTTCGTGTCATTTTTGTAGTATTTCAAATGAATGTACCCACTGTTGTCTTCTAATCGGATTAAAATCTGGCCGAATTTTGGCCGATATCGAAAAAAAGTTTGGCCGAATTTGGCCGTGAGATGGCGTGTTTTTGACCGTGAATCCTGTCGACTATCTGGCAACCCGGCAACCCTGGAAACAACACATTTCATTATAAACACTAAATGACAATTCACCATCTTCAAATTTATTAATCCATCATCACAAGCATTTATCAAAATTTCATTATCATTGTTAATAGCCAAGACTTATAACAATAAACAATACTAATTTACATTTTTCGTGAAATATAGGCCTCATTGGTTTTAGTTTTTGATACTTCGACGGGTTTTTTTTTGTGTGGAGCCAATTCGATGCCCAACTGAGCTAGGCTAGGCCCAGACACATTATTTGAAACTTTTAACTTGATTGCCTGTCTGACGGTGACACTTGTCTATAGAAGGCTGCTGTGAAATGCAAGGCCTGGCTGGTGGAGTCGAGCTGCCTATGTCTTATGAATGATGTAATTACTATTATAGGCATAGTAGTTAGTAGTAGCTCCTATTAAGTCTTATGCCTAGGCCTAAATGTTTGTTTAGCATTAAAATACAGGAGGTCAACGCTAGGCTAGGCCTACCGTCACTACTACGAATTAGGCCCATATCGGCCGCTAGCTATAGCGGCCGCCCCCAGAACGGCCGCCAATGCGTGTATATGTATGGAACTCCGATGACGCATTCACAATGCATTACATTGTAGTTAAATGGTTTGGAATAGGCCTAGGTCAAGTAGGTTTGGCATAGGCCTAGGTCAAGTCGGTTTAGAATGGTGTAGGACCAGTTCGGCCGAGATTTATTTGTATGGAACACCAAGTAGGCGCAAAGCTATTGCTGCTACAGACTCAGTATCCATGTATCGCACATGTTCGTACAGTTTCCATGTACAGAGATCAAGCCAGTCGGCTATTTTCAGCATTTGACATTCTTTCCTTGTCTCCGATGACATTCCTGAATTGGCGGCGTACAAAGACTTCGTCTCCGATAACATTCTTGAATTGGCGGCGTACAAAACTTTATTATTCTTCCAAGAGTATCATTGGACCCTACTTGTGAGAACGTTTCTCACTGAATTAATTGTTACTAGGCAACTTAGTACTGGCAAATTGATACCTATTTAAAGCAATGTATTTCCATTCATGCCTAGATTTAATTATTAATTAATTATTTAAATACGGTAACCAATCAATCACTTAAGAAAGTATAATACATACTCCAAGTATTGAAATACACGCCATCGTGTTGGGATTCAATATTTCGACATTAATTATGTCATCAATCACTTGTACCTGGAACGTATAATCGTCTTGCAATAGGTACGCTTGCTTAATAGTACATATATAATTATAATGCAGGATTAATTAATTATATTATATACTTTATTCTAAGATACAAATCAAGTTTCTTGATAAGTTACAGCTATAGTTAAATTAAATTTCTTCTATTAAAGCAATAAAGTTTCAACTTAAAATATTTTTCAGGATAAAATAAACACTTCATCACTAAAAATTATGCTAAACTACTTCGTAAAACAATCAATCTTAATAATAAAGTACAGTATTTCGCCATACGTTCTTTCAAGAACATAATAAAGTCTTGTATTGTGAACTGGCATAGGGCCTATTCTATTTTTTCAATATATGTTTTCTCATACACGATTTCTAACAAAATGTGTTCGTTACACAACTACTGGAGTAGGGAGTTACTCACTCTGGCTAGACAATGAACATGCTTGCTTCATCAGATAAGACAAAAGATATCAATTAACGTCTCCGTGGTAACGTTAACTTTTAACCCTACTACTCTAGTATTGTTGCTTTTTATTGAGTAACAAACGATTGAATCGACAGCATGAACCGTGTACATATTTTGAGTATAAATAATTAAGAAACGAATACGGTATCATATGTATGAACTTTAGAAACACTTCAGTGGAGGAAACCAATTTTCAACCTATTCTTACATAAATTATACATGTATACATATTTAAATATATGTGGCCTATATATAACTCATGATGTAATATATATATAAACATATATATAATAAATAATGAAACAATATTAGTATTGTTGCTTTTTACTGAGCAACAAACGATTGAATCGATGGCATGAATCGTGTACATTTTTGATATATAGAATTAAGAAACGAAAATCATATGTATGAAATACTTCAGTGGAGGAAACCAATTTTCAACCTATTCTTATTTAAATTATATATATATGTGTATACATAATTAAATATATATGGCCTATATATAAATTATGATATAATAGATGAAATCCAAACTAGCTTTATATATAATAATAATAAGAAGAAGAAACGAATACCATACTTTATTGGAGAAGAACTTCAATCTAT